TCATTATTTGAAACTGAGGCTTCAGATTGTTCTGAAAAACAGGTTTCCAAATTTTTTTTAATCTGATTTTGCGCCGTCACAGACTGTGATTTTAATTATGTGATGGGCAGAGATGGGCAGTAACGCGTTAAAATAAATGCGTTACTGTAGTCTGATTACTTTTTCAAGTAACGAGTAAAGTAAGGGGTTACTATTGCAAAAAAGTAATTGGATTACTGTTACTTTCCCGTAAACCAACACTTTGTCAGAGTGTCTCATGACAATGACGTACGAGTTTTTGACGTTCGTGGCAGCAGCAGACGTGTGTAGGTCAACAATGGAAAACGGGGAGTGTGGGCGAGAGTACGACGCAGCATTTAAAGCTCGGAGGTACTGACATTACTTTTGAGTTTGATTCTGTAAAAAGTGACAAAAACATTAGCGTCTGCTGTACACTCTGCGTGGGAAGAAAATTCATTCTACAGCGAAAAATTCAACTTCAAATCTGAGCAAGCACCGAGCATGCTGCCACGGGAATGTGACATTCATAGAGGAACCCCCGGATCCCGCCTACTGACATGACCGCTGCGGCACCGGGCAAACCTCCACCGGCCTCTCTCCTGCTAAGCAGGTGAAAATAGATTAACCTCCTAAGACCTGAACTCTTCCACGGTATGCATTTTTAATTTCTCTTTGATATTTGGGCATATTGGGACCTGATGAATGTAAAAACAAAGAAATACCAAATTTTTGTTTCTAAGAAAAATGAGAGCTACATATGAGGATATTCATTTAAAGTTTTGATAGAACAGTAGCAGAATAATGTCCGCGTAAGTGGATATCAGGCCCTTGTAGAGCAAAGTTAAGTATTTTGGTCTAAATAACCCAAAATGTGATGTCAACATATGTGGATGCCAGGTCCTAGGAGGTTAAAGAGCGACAAGACTTAGTGCCGCTTAAGCTTTGATTTTATTTATTTTTTGCTGTGTTTTACTTGCATCTATTTGAAAGAGCGAGTGTAAACACAAAAAATTATTTTATATGCCGGAATATGCAGAAAATAGGTTTAAATGTTAAACACATTTCTTCAAGTCAAAGACTGTTGTACATAATTTCATTTTCACTTGATGCAATGTGCATAAACTTAAAAGATTAAAACTTATAAAACAAGTTTTAAAAAGACACTTTCTCATTTCATTCAATTTTATATGATTGATTATGCAGAAAAAATAGAGTTGGGCTTAAAGGTATTCAGGTTGTGTATCATGTTTTTTAAAAGTAACTAAGTAATAAAGTAACTAATTACTTTTGAAAATACAAGAATCAATCTTGGATACAAGAATAAAGTTACGTTGAAACCAAGCACACAGTTGTTTTTCTTGTGACATTACCAATAAGTTTGATGTGTCACATGGCCCTCTTCCTATTGGGAAAAAAAAAGAAAGAAAAAAAGTTGTATCCAAGATGGCCGACTTCTAAATGGCCACCATGGTCACCACCCATCTTGAGGACTTTGCCCCCTCACATATACTAATGTGCCACAAACAGGACTTTAATATCACCAACCATTCCCATGTTATTACGGTGTATCCATATAAATGGCCCACCCTGTAGTTCTATAGTTTTTATCGATAGTTGCTGCAAAATGGCTCCACAGTGGCCCCTAGAATATTTCAAAAGAGCAGTGCCTGTGCTTTGTTTCATCTATGGGTCTGAAATCATGGAGCTATAACCTAAATCCAACAGGAAGTCAGCCACTTTGAGTTGAAAGTGTAATTATGGGGTCATTTTCAGGCCATATAATTTAACGAACTCCTCCTTGGGACTTTATCAGATCCACATGGCCTACGGTGAGTGGATTCTAAAGGCCTCAGTCATCTTGAGAAGCGTTTGAGGTTTCACGAAACACCGCCGTCATGGCTGCACGTCAAGTTTCGATCATTCGCCGTGAAGAAGGAAACTGCTATAATTTTGACCCTGGAAAGGTTTTCAAAACCACTTTTCTAAACTCCAAGCTGCTTTCATTGTGTTAAACACTGTTTTCATGATTACCTTTCATAGTTTCAAGTAGGTTCTAAATTAAATTTAATAAATTTAATTAAAACTTTAATCACTAAATTGAAGTGAGAATGCATACAATAAAAATTCAAGAATTATTTATTTTTTTTGTCTTTAAAAGACAGACACTGACACAACCCTAAACGCCTAGGATGGTATCTTTCACTTTCAGATTAACTGCAGCCAGTCTATTGACACATACATTCACATTTAATTGGCTTTTATATGTAATAAACTGCATGGGCTCTAATCAAATGATATCCATAAATGAAAACCACAGGCCTTCATGCTTTTCCTTCAAGATTTAGGGATTCAGAATATTACTTCCTGCACCATTTTGATAAGAATGTCTTTAAAATGTCTCAGAATATTATAAATGGCATTTAGCACATTCTGAAAGCAAAATAAGGCTTTGATTCTTGGTGCTTTCTGCTGAAACCTGATGGTGTACTTTACACAACTACAACACTTTGTCAAAGAGTTTGTTCAAATTGTTTCTTGTGAGTTTGAATTTGTGTTGATTTGACTTTGTTAAAGCTGTTCATAACCTGCTGTTCTTTGTCCACTAGCAAACTTCTTCCAAAGCACGTCAATAATCACATAAACTATACTGGCAGAAATATTCACTCAACAATCCAAATCATTGAATTATGGTGTAGCATTCACTTCCATGGCTACAGGTCTATAAAACCAAGAACCTAGATATGCAGAATGCTTCCACAAACATTTGTGTTCAAGTGAAATGTTAATGCTTCAGCTTACCAAGATATTTTGGAAAATTTTATGCTCCCAACTTTGGGAAGATGTGTATATATAGATACAAACAGTGAGTTGATACCATATTAACTCCTATTGATCAGGGAAACAAAGTTCATATTCTTGTGAAAGTAGACAAATACTTTTGAAGTAGTGTAACTAACCACTACAAAAACCAGAATTTTAATTCAGTTGAATATTTTTTTTAAATATAGCGTCAAATCACAACAACATTTTGAAGGCACTTTATATTGTAAAGTAAATACAGTAATTCAGAGAAAACCTCATCAAACAGACAACCCTACCAAGCATTTGGCAACAGAGGGAAGGAAAAACTCCTTTTTAACAGGAAGAAACCTCCAGCAGAACTGGGCTAAGGGAGGGCCAGTTATTTTGTATCCACGGCTTGAAGTTGCCTCCCACCCCATCTCTAGGGCTGAAGAGAGGTACCTCATTTATCCTCAAGGTTATTCTTCCAAAGAACAAACCTCATGGCTTTTGGTGTTTTTTTTAGAACGTTGATTGACTGGTAAATGAAAGCTTTACCTTTGGGCTCGACACTCTTGTCACTCCAGTGGTGCGGTAAAGCACCAAGCTCCTCCTTCCCATCCTTCATATCTCTTGTTCTGTCACATCTTAAAAGTGTTCAACTTGATCCAGATCTGGCGCTACTAGGGAGGATGCTAAAGTCCACTAAGTCCACTGAACCTGTGTTTATTAAAGCAATTGGGCAGACCTTGTGACATTGTGTATTATCATGTAGACCTTATAAAAGGTTAAACTCTGGCAATAAAAATATGCACACAGTTAGTAAATAGACTCGGAGATGGTGCCAATTAAATCATGACTGATTCCTTTAAGTGGCTACCAAGACAATTCCTCACTTGATATAAGGCTGGTTAAGACCACTGGTCGATCCATTGTCCATTGTTGCTATATTCTGAGCCTAAAATTGGTAGCTTTATCTGACATTCATTTCAGAGTGATTATCCTTATCTGAAAATTCCAGGAGAGCAGTAGCTTAAAAACTGTTCAAACCAGTGGATAGCAGGTATTTAAGGGCAATGCTGGAGCCTAGAAAATCTAAAAAATAAATAATTTCACAGTATGTAGCAGCAGGTGCCAGGTACAGGTACCTTTTCATACTTGAAAGCATAGTTTTGTAGGATGGTGGTGGGGTAAAGAGCTTCAAAGAGAAGAGTACTCCTGGCTTGCTTTTTCATTTCACAGTTGTATTTCATTGATTCTTTACTTCCTGCTGTTCTTTCACTTCCACAGTTTTGAGTTTATTTGGGTTTTTGAGTTCCTTTGCAGTCTAAATTGTTGAAAATGATTGGGATCAACTCGCATGCAGCAGCAAGTCACTTAAACTAACAACACAGCAGGAGTTTTACAATAAAACTGCAACCGGAGTAATTCATAGTGGAAATATCCTCTTTTCTTCTTTTCCATTTCAGGGCCTCGGTGGGCGTCATGGAACCTCGGGGTGTTCATGTGTATCCGCTGTGCCGGCATCCACCGCAACCTGGGTGTCCACATCTCCAGAGTCAAATCTGTCAATTTGGATCAGTGGACACCTGAGCAGATCCAGGTATGCAAATGATGCTCCCCATACTAGTACTGCTCTTAAGGCTTCTTAATGCATTGATATAACTTGTACCCCGTAATCTGTTATTGTTTAATTCTTTTAATGATCTCTGCCACTTACAAACAAAAGCTCACTGTATTTCTTTATGTAGGTTTTAAATCTATGTAGTAAAGATCACAAATAATAGCAAAAACCATAAGACTCATTGTTTTCACTTGTTGCTCGTGTGCAGCGCCTGCATATGTATCTAGAATCACCTGTTCTGCTTTCAAGGATGATTTACATTTGAAATTAGAGCATTTGGAACAAGGCAAATGGTCAAAATAGTAAAAACAAGGAGGAGGAAAGATTTATTATTTAGGTTTTTGAGTCTTTTTTTTCTTTCTTCTCATTTTTCATTCAGGCAAAGGCAAGAAACCCACCTCCAAATTATATGAAACATGATCCTTATGATTTTTTTAATTACAGTTATTAAACAGTGATCTGGTTCATTTATGTTTCAAACATAAACAGGAGCTGCTGGTGCTTAATAGGGGTGGGAATAGAGAACTAGTTGGCAATAATACACCCTCAGTCTTTTCCTTTTATATGTACTGGCATGTTTCTTCTTTTTATACTTAAGCATGCTTAAGGTTGCTAAACACACCTGAGTTGCCTCCGAGCATTTCAGAGACAATATAACAGCTGTCTTTTAAAGTTTGTCAAAAATCAAGAACAGACGCAATAAAGTATGGGCTCTATCAGAAAAATTAATAATAACATTTAAAATGAATAATGTCTTGCCAACATGCATCACTAAGGCCTAATGCAGCGTTCTGTTTTCATAGTGGATTCTACAGTCCTCATATAGTGTCCAAGCTCACTGACATTCTCATTTCTTTCTGTACACACATTTGCTGCGTGTTTAAAAACCTTTAATTGTTTTGTTTTTTATATTTTATTGTGAATAATCCATTTTTCATAAACAACTATTATCCTTCTGGGCAAAGGACATTAAAGATGGCAGGAAAGGAGGAATGGAGACCGCAGAGAAGGTGGTGAAGAAGGAGGTTGGTGTGAGAGTGGAGGATGCTCGGAGGCAGATAATCTGCTGTGGCGACCCCTGAAGAGAGCAGCAAAAAGAAAAAGATGTATTATACTATTGTTGTATTTAGAGCTGGCTGAGCCAAAAAAAGAAGAAATAAACGGCCCTAAGACATGTTGGCATGAGCAAATGCAAAGAACCCAGATAGTACCCCCCAAAAAAGTGCATTTTAAGGGTTACCTTGATAGGTGAAGTTATGCATATACTGCAAGGTCACTCTGTATGCACTGACACAGCCTCAGAAATCCACTGTTTAGTATGCATTCAGTGTTTTTACACACACACACACGCAGCCATGTGCAGTACATGCACAGCAGCATGTGTGCAAATGCACATGCAGAGGGAATACAGAGAGCCTAATGCTAATTTGTAAGTGCGGAGCTGTGTTTTGTGGATAACTAGCATGTCACATTGATTTTATTTCACACTCTGTGTTTGTGTGTGTCTGTGTACATCTGTGAAGCTCACACAGCAGTACTCGCTTGGTGTGTAGCAGGGGAAAGGTGTGCGCCTGTGCGTTTCTCCCGTGCTGTGCCGATCCATCAGCTGAGTGCGAGTGGAACGGGGCTCAGTCTGAATGTTAATCACTGTTTTCAATGACTAATTAATTCTGGATGGCTGATTATTCCGACTCCGTCTCCTCCACTTCTCCTATCATCACCCCATTCATCACCCTCCTCTTAATTTAGCCCTGACACATACGGCCAGTGTGTCTTTCACTTGGCATGTGCGTGTTTGTGTGCGAGTGGGAAGGAATCTGCAGCAAATTGAGTTGAATGCAAATGTGAAGTATGAAAGAACTCGCTGTGTGTGTTTGACAAGGTCTTAAATGTGTTTTACCGACTGCCTTTTCTGTATTAATGACACAGTTCTTCCGTCTTTTTCTCTCTCGGCTCTTTTTCCTTCCTCCCCTCCTCGTAGAGTATGGTGGACATGGGCAACACCAGGGCCAGACAGCTGTATGAAGCCCACCTACCGGAGAACTTCAGGCGACCACAGACGGACCAGTATCCTCCTCCTGCTGTCTCCCTCACTCTTTATTTATTAGTCTCAGCCTCTATTGTCGTAAAAACAGATGCACTGGAATAAAGCATCGCTCTCACTGAACACTTTAATCACTGCTTTCATATTAAAACTGCCAACTTCAGTACACACAGATATAAAAGCCTCTGTTTCGCCACACATGTCGGGATATCTACATGCAAATATAAAAGCTCCTGTCATCATGTAGCTACATATAAACTCTAAATGTCACCATAAATAAGTAGTTTATGCATTATACCACCATACAGGTCAAAGGTTTGGACATATCGCATTATATCAAGCACAAAACTTTAAATATTTCAGTCTTTGGTTTCATAACTGCTTTGTAAACTCTCCATTCATCAGCCAGCTTCATGAAGTCATCACCTGGAGCTCTTCCAGCAGTCTCAAAGGAGTTCCCATATATGCCGAGCACTTGTTGGCTGCTTTTCCTTCACTCTGCGCTTCCACTCATCACAAAACCGGATTTGAGGTGATGGGGCAAGTGACCTGACGCAACACTCCATCACTCGGCTTCTTTATCAAATGGGCCTTTAAAGAACCTGTGGGGCTGTGTTCAGGCTGCACAGTGGAGACACTGGGCCATTAGGTCTCAAATCAACACAAGTCTTCTGCCCTCCAATATGCATAAAACTTTATGGTATAACGTTTGAATATATAATGGTTGCCGGGAAATTTTAGCTTCATATATCAAATCGTTTTAAAGAAATATTTTTTTGGAAGGTGGTCCATCAAACCACTTTGAGCCTTTTTTTTTTCGCACGTTAAAATCTATGACAGTGTTTACACATTAAATTTTTCCCTGGCCTTTCTTATAGTCAGAATCTGTAATCTGTAAAAATGTTTGAGTATTGGTTTGTTTAAAATTTGGAGCTGGACTCGGCTTTTTCATATTTTAACCAGCCGATACTCATTTTTTGATGTATGTGAGATGCAGAAAAAAACAACTGGATTTGAATTGAAAATGCAGAATTTACAGCACATTTTAATTTGCAGGTTTTTTTTTACTGTACAGTAAATTCCTTATGTCCCAATAAGGAATTTTTTTAAAAAAAAAAGTGGTTTTAAAATTAGTAAGTAATTGACTGTGCCAGTTACCTGTTCAATTTATTTTTACTACAAATCCCTAAAATGTTTAAATATATTGTAAGTGATTTTATTTTTTTGCGTTTCTGCAAATACTGATAAATAATCAAAAGTCAGAAAGCTTTACAGCAACAAGATAAAGATGCAGAGTCCTTTTTCATTATGACGTTACAATCTCAAATCGAACTCATAGTGGTTATCAGGCTTGAGCTTCAGCTGCACACACATCGCCACACATCATTTCCACACAGAGGCTTGCCACTTCTGCATCTTTCCGCACATTTAACCGGGACATATCGAGCAGTTTGTGTTTATACGCAGAGCTGTAACAGCGCTTTCCAGCTTGCCCTTTTCCAAGATACAAGACAAGACAGCTGTGTGGTTAACACACCAGCATATGTTCATATTTCCACCAGCAGACCAAAATAAATAATCTCCCTGTTTGAAATGTTCCTCTAATACCCTATCTTGTATCTGGCAGGCCCATTTGTGCGGGTGGTCATCATTCTTCACTCTTTTGAAGTCCATTAGTTGCTCTGACAGCATCGCCGCTGGCTGAAAGCAGCAGATAACAGACCCAGGATTAGAGGAGCTCGCGCCTGAATGTGGCTGTTTCTGTGTGTACTCTGTTTATACTCACGCAGCTTCTCAGCCCTGCTGTTTACTGTGCTTATGTATGTAAATGACGAAATGGACTTTGAGTCCTGTCTCTGTATTTTGTGTGTGTGTGAGTTTGAATGCATTAATATTCATAGATGCAGGCGTGTTTTACACAAGTATGGACTAAAATGGGATTTGAGATTAATGTTGTCTTAGAAAATGTTTTAAATACTGTTTTAAATAAAAATACCAGTAATGCAGCAGCACTTTATCAAGTTAGTCACATTTGAACATGTGCTTTTACTTTAAATGTTTTAAGCTTAGACCAGCTTTTTTGTTAGTTATCAATGTGGAAAAAAAACTGAATTATATGAAACTAACAGGTGCATCAAATGTGTAATTTGTGGTGATTTTTGTAGTATTAGGTTTTGAAATTGAAAATAGAAATTGAAACAGCATGTGGGTAGCGCAGATGAGGTCTTTCTGTTGATACTTGGTAAAATAGTCCCCAGTATTACAGTGTTATAAATATGAAATGAGTTTAATTGTGACCCAGACTTTGATTTTATGTCAAAGAACAGCAATTGCCCTTATGTCAGAATCCCTGCCCCCTATGGTGTGTTTTATCGGTCTTTCATGAGATTTGTGGTCACGTGTGCCTAACCACCGTGTCACCAGGCCACACATTTATCCACTACAGCCGTGGGTGCCATGGTTGGTATCTCAGTGCAGCATCCTAGTTCTGCTCTGCTGTTTCTAGTCAACAGTAATAAATAAGCAGTGTGTTTGAGACGCAGCCACAGCAGGCCTCCTCTTCCAGCCTATCTAGCAGCTCCACTCGTGTGGGTGGTCATCATTTTTCAATCTTCTAAAGTCTTTTACTTGATCCGACAGAAGCGTCACTGCTGAAATAGGCAGATAAGAACGTCAGGATTTGCGGCACAGCAGCACGCAGTTGTGTTGGTTTGTGTGTTTAGGGAAAGATGGAGTGAGAGAGTGGGGTTGATTGTTTGTGTATCCTCACTTATCTCACTGTCGTGTGCGTGTTTTTCCTTTGACATTGTTGGGGTTCTTAGTGTAAATGTGCTCTCCTATTACCTCAGTTGTTCGTGTGCCCCCCTTTTTATCTGGGAAAAGTTTGCTGATCCATCAAATGGAGTGAACATTATAAGTCATGTCACTCGCAGCGTGTGGCAAAGAATCAAAATCCATGTCTAGACCGAGCGTCTTTTATTAAACTTCCTGGTGATCATGAAATGGAGAGACGAGCATCGCACACTTGGAAATCAGACATGTTAATAGTTTGTTTTTGTTTTCTTTTACATCATTTTTTTGCCCTTTTCTAAAGAGAAACATTATAACTATGCCCAAAAGTGATACATTCTAGCAAATTGGAAAAGTGGAAGAAAATGGATGGATGGCTAAATTGTATATACATTTAAATACTGTATGTGTTTCAAACGTAATATTCAGTACTGTGCAAAAGTCTCAAGTCAACCCTTAATTCTTTTTATAGTTTGCTTCTAATGAGCTGACCTTTTAAGGTGGTGTTGAGGCATCTTTTTCAGGCTGTTTTTTTCCCCCACTCATTTTCAGTCCAGTCCGTGTACCTGACCATGTTCAAATAAACGTTTTTTTGTTAGTTTGTTTGTTAAGCCACTTAAAAGTGACCTGTTAATCATTCGAGCATAAAACTGGATGAACCACTGTTGTATCTACACAGAACAGACAACCTGGCAGAGAACCGGTTTTACATGTCTGTCACCAAAATGCAAAATTTGTTCCCATTTCTTTGGCTGATTTTATGAAAACTGTTAAAGACAACATTTAATATAAACAGAGGAAATCAGGAGAGAGACCAACAGCTGTCTGATTCATTCAGGTGTCCGACTCCAATTAACTGAAATCCTCTGCAGTATTACGCTGTCTATTATTCTCCTGACATACAGCCTTCTGTTCATGGCCCAAACGTTTAGCTGCCGATTGTCAGCAAAGGAGACTTTTCAAATCTCTTAGCCCAAACCTTGTGTTCCTGCCCCAGAAGTGGTTAAAGACTTGTCATCTGAGGCCACTACTAGAAAGCCTTCTTGACGTAACTTTTACTGATTTGGAATCTTGTGTTCTTTATTTAGAAAACACTTTTTTGATGAATTTGCTTCCCTTCAGCTCTCAGTCAACAAATGTTCAGGCATCGATCTTCTAATGGTGCGCTCACTTTAGATCTGCCTCATCGTGTTTACGATACAATTGATCCAGTTTCTGCCGGGCCCTTTTACAAACACTCAGTCTAATCAGGATTTAAAGCTGACAAAGCCCCTCTTCACTCTTTCTGACACTTTCACTTAGTTGTGATGCTGTAATTTCTCATCAGGTTACTTGCTGAGCAAATTTCTGCTGCAGACTTTAGCGAACGCATCAAACAGGTGAGCAGTGCAGTAAATATGAAATCCTTTGATTTACATCAACAATCCTCTGATAGATTGATTAAATCAAGCAATTGCATAATTGTTTTTACCTTTACACAAAGTGTTCAACATAGTTACTGCTGCTAATCTCCCAATGTGATGTCAGATTTAGGGATAATGGTCAATATAAAAGTGATCAGTATTATTATTCTGACGCTTCTGTTACCTGGCCTCTCATCTCACATATTTCTAAGGGGCAAAAGTGTACAAACCTTTGGTTTCAATGTAAGTTGTAGCAAAAACTGCAGCTAGTGTTTCTGCTAATAAAATCCTCTGTACAGAACACCTTGAACTCTTTTCTTGAGGTGATGATTTTGAGTGGAATCTTCCAGAACATTAACTTTAGTCTTTTTTTTTACCTTTTTTGCATGACTCCCTTTCTCTTAAGAGTCACCTCACAGATATGCGTCTCGCTGTTTTCCTTTAGAACTTGCTGATATAGTTAAAAAATTAACTGTTCCTTCCCCGATGACTAGCTGTCCCTGCACGAATACAGCACACAGGTTGAATCTGTTATACTTCTGTCGCCTCTGAGTTTTATAACATAGATAAGGTTCTTATGCTGCAATGAACTGTTTTCTGTAACTCTAACGATTGTCGAATGAATCAAAAAGTTGTGTTTTGGTCAAAAAACCTTCTAACAGCCTCCTTGTGATTTTTACTGTCTTGTTGTTTCGTGTTATCCCAATGGTGGTCCCATGAGCATTGTACAGCTTGACTTTTACTTGCTCTTAGAGGGAGCAGGTCTTGCTTGTAGCTTAGTTTTGTACACTTTAGAGATGGTTCTGTGTCCCGGCATACCCAGTGTGCCCAGGTCAGTTGTTGCTTAACCTTCAGATTGTTGTAGAAATGTTTTTGTAGCATCATGAGCAACATCAGCTCTTTTTCTGAAGCCAATGTAGCCTCGTTTCTTCAGGCAAAGAGTCTTTCTGAAATATATGTTGTGAAGACCAGATTTAAGAGATTGCTGTTCAACAAGTAAAGTACAGCTGATCATCATCCCACTAATTGAAAACAGCAGAAATAATTACATCTTATTATCGATTGCTCATCACTGAGGTTGACATTTTCCCAGTACATAAATTCTGTCAAATATTTCATTTTAATTTATCAAACAGGATTCTGTTTTTCTTTTAGCACATTGGGATGATCCGAATGTAGAAAATCTAAACGTTTCCTCCATCACTGAAACGTTGAATCTTGTGCTTCTGACAAATATAGACATAATTGTCTGTAGCATGCATTGGCACTGGCATCAGTACTGATGCTAGTCTATGTTAAGAGTTTTTTTTTTTAATTGCTCACTCCTACAATCATCCACTTAACGTTCGTCACCACACATTATCTACATCTCTAATCTCAGTGTATTCAAGTTGACGACTATTCCACAGAATACATATCATAAAGCTTGTGAGTGCATGTTGTGAAAGTTTTTCTAGAAGCAAGTTTAACCAACTATCTTGAAATATCCTTGGATCCTTATTTTGGGGGATTATTAAATATTATTTAACAAAATCTCAGTTTCAGTAGTGATGATGATTTAAAAAAACAAAAACAAGGATTGAAAAGGCTTTTTCTTCTCCTGCAAGTTTTACTACTACTCCCACCTTTGCTGTGCAGAATTCCCGTGTACATTCGGTGCATGCTGTTTCTCTATGATGCGTCTCGTGTGGTGTGTGTGTGTGTGTGTGTGTGTGTGTAAGTATTGTCCACTTGGATACCTTTGTGCACGGCTTCAGTCCTTAACCCCGACCTTCAGAGCCGTGGAAGTCTTTATCCGGGACAAGTATGAGAGGAAAAAGTACTACAACAAAGAGGCTTCGGCCACAGCTCAAGTGAGTATCAACAACACTGTTTGTGTTTTACAGTTTGTGAGTGTATGTTATTGTTGTGGTTCCATGCAGCGCTGCCACGGTTGGAGGCGATTTCATGTAACCTCAGTGTGAGTGGTTGCTTGGTGGCTCTTTGATTGATGTGCTTAAGACAGAAAGCAACATAAATGTAAAATGACGGCTTTTCTGTCCCTTGAGCTTTGCTTTTTTTTGGGAAACCTACCTTTTTCCCCTCTTTAATAATAAATAAAAATAAAAAAAAGCTTTAACAGTAGCAAACACTGCATGCCAAAGTTTTCTTTAATCATGAAATAGGATTTTTTTTTTTCCATCCCTTTCCTTTTCCTGAGAAACCAATGATTTCTGAAAGGCTGAAACCTGCAACAAATAGTGTTTGGCAGCTGCCGTGTTTAAAGTTAAAATGTGTTACTCATCATGTTTGGCATCTCTTCCTCGCACAAAACTTGTGAGTGCCTTCCAGTAGGAACTTTTCATGCCAGAACCTCAGTTTCTTTCAGTGCACTTATCTTTCACTCAGCCTGAAAAATTAGTTGGTTTTTTTACTTTTTTTTATTAAACTGCCACTGACCTTTTGTGCACTTTAATCTGTTGTAAAAAGGATGTTTGCTAGGCAAAAAATCTTTTTCAACCCAAACAATAGTCTTGCTGGATCCAATACAAAGAGTTGCTGAACACAGTTGGAGAATAACCTTTCAAAAACACTGTTATCTTCTCATACAGGTCTTTATCAGTAAGTAGATAACTGTGTTTATGTGTGTGTGTGTGTGTGTGTGTGTGTCAGTGTCACGACTGAAGCTCTGTGTGGGTGAAGGGAGAAAAAGGACATGATGGTGTAGGTGTGTTTGTGGGCGGATGAGTGCACATATCCTTGTCTTGTTTCCACAGAGATATCAGAGGTGCGTGCATCTCTGCATGTTTCAGTGAGTGGGCTGTTTCTGTACTGTGAGTTACTCCGTGAAGGGCGGTGTGAAACTCCACAGAAATTGGTGTGATGCAGTCAGACTGTGTGTCTGTGTTCACATATGTATCACCTTGTATACTCCCAAAAAAAGGAGAGAACTGGCAGTTGTTATTATCCATAAACAACAACAGCACAAAATGTCTACATGCTTTCTGCAAAGTTACGAATTGTTAGGCTAACTTGTAACTAGCCATCTTTAGCAATTTAGCAACAGAAATAATCTCATAATTTTTGGACAGATTTGAATTAGCTAGTTAATGCTAGCTTACATGTCATGGTTTAGTGAAACACTAAAATTGGACTTTTCTTAACATCAATGCTTTTCATAGGCTCATGTTTTATGTTAGAATCTGACCAAAGTTGGATTTTAAGCAGAAATACCTGCCAAATTGTCAAAGTGTGCTAGAGTTTATTTTAAAGTTTCAAATGGTGGTGTCATAATGTATTACCTTTGATATACTGTATTTAACACACTGGGTAACTTTCATCGCTCTGCCTTTTCAAAGGCTATCCTCCTCCTGATGTATTTTGGTACTGAAGTAAGTATAATCTCAAATAACTTTAATTTCACTGGCTATTCAAAACAGCCATAGAGCATGATGCTACCACTACCATGCTCGACAGTGGATATAGTGTTCTTAGGTTTGAAAACACACAATGAGTTGTATGTTTGTTTGAACTGATGATTTTGGAATCTGCAGTTGCTCAAAGAGACCCTCCCACCTTGTGTAAATCTACAATTCTCCTTCTTAGATTCTCACTGAGATCCTTGGAGTTTGCCATTGTTCTGAGTATTGGTCAGTTAAATTAGTGCTGTCAAACAAATCCTGTCTATGTCGGCAAAGAGAAATGCCCGTTTGTTGTCAGTTACAATTACTAACAAGAAGCTAATAATCAGTTTCCTTGTCAAGTTAAAGACATTGTAGAACCCTCAGCACCACTTATTCAAAGATCTAAGTCAGTGTATGTTTTTATTTGACCTTTGTGGATTAGAGAAAATCCAGTTCAAACTGTACAATCAATCTGCACTGAAAAAGAAATCATCAACAGCTCCATGACAATTTGTGCTGGTAGGTGTATGCATGTAAACTTTGGACCACAACTGAATACTGTATATAATCTATATTCAATACTGATGCCCATTTGGGTAACGCAAAGACATTAGATACTTTTCAAACTTCAGCAACTTCCACCAGCGTGCTATGTATGAGGTGTTTGTGTCGATATTCTGTGTTTGGTTGTCTTCAGCGGTGTTGCTTTGCATTATGGCCAAATATCTACACTTTAGTCTCCTCTGTCCAAAGGATCAGGTTTATTGGGTTGTAAACAAACCAAATGAGTATATGTTGTTGTTTTTTTAGGTTTGGCTTGGAGTTGTGCGGGAAGAGTGTTGAAAGAATTTGGTCCAAGTGTTGTATCACTTCTGAAGGTTTCCTGCACTATTCTCACACTGGCACAGACATTACGTGCACTTTGTAGTAGAGAGCTCAGAAGGTTAAACTACCTGATCCAATGAACGACTTTAAAACTTTAGATCAGATTAAATCTGACATTTGCTGGTTCACATGCAGCGCTGTCAGGGAATGTCTAGAAAAATTCAGGCGTGCTGAGCCTATGTGATGAAAGCTTTACAGCTGAGGCCGCTGAACTATTACTGCGTGAGCTTTTTTGTTAAATTTTTAAACCAATAGGTGAGAGGTGTAAAACAATGAAAGATGGAATATTGGACTAATAGATGCAGTCTGTCAAGGAAGTAAACTACCTAACTGAAGAACTACCACCTGGTTTTTGGATAAGCTCCATTTTTAAGGATCTGAATGATTTTTTGCAACAAAATAGTTTCTTTATTATATCAGCTAATTCATTTTTTTGTTCTACAACTCCTTTAGAGTAGATTTACATGATTCACATTTTTGAGTAATCCTTTTTTAACTTATGCCGGGCCTTGATACCTTCAGTTTAGAGTGCCCCCTTACTGATTTCCCGTTTTTGTGTTTACATGTGTTATTTTTGTCTAATATTTACATTTGTTTGACAATCTGAAGCATTTAAGTCAGTCAAACATACAAAAATGGGAACTCAAGAAGGGGGCGAATGCTTTTTCACACCACTGTATCTATTAAACATGCTTTTTTAGCTCCTTTCCTGCCTCCTTTTAAGCCAACTTTCTTTTGATTGACTGCCTGTTTGAACAGCAGATGGGCGGGGCTTCTGAGCTCATAGTCAGAGCTGTGCGCCTGACATGACCATATTAGTTAAATCATTGACAGTAGACAAAGTCTGTGAAACTGTGTGATCGATTAGATCAGACTGATCTAATCGATCTTAACTCTGAGCTTTGCCTCACACGCAGTAATTGCAGATATGCTCACCTCTTTATTTAAAATTGAGTCCTGTCTGCAACAAAATAGATAAAAACAGAGAATCTGATGCGACAATTGTGGTGGACTGTGTGGAATTCAGAAGGATGCAATCTTTGCTGCAACAGCATCACATCCATCACCTGCACCTCCAGCATGCTGTTTAAAATACATAGGTAAATAAAAACAATAATAATAATACAGTGTGATGATGCAACTGCAGTGACAGAATGACACAAAATGTTTCTGGGTGCTGTGTGTCCAATCCATAAATCAAACCAGTGGATGCCTTAAAGTCATTCCAATACACGAGCACACATGTGCATACGCCAACTGTAGCTCAGGGTTACTGTAGCCCGCCCTCTCCTCTTCGTTCTCCATCTGCGCGAAACTGCTTAAAGTGATAATGAGTTGTTTTTAATAATTAATTTGCATATAAAAGCCAAGCCGTCTGCGTGGGTGGCAGAAACAGATCCTAGATCACAGTCTGGCTGCTGGCAATGCTTCAGAGAAAGCCAGAGACAACACAGAGTGTGTGAGAGAGGCAAGAGGCGAGTGGGACAAAGGGGGGAAAAATGCATAAACTGAGAAACAGAAGCGAATGAGGGAAACTTAGACATCGCAATGGAATAAATATGCGCCAGAGGAAGCCTGCTGTGAACAAGCCAGTGTGAATTAAAGCACTGCTTGGTTTTTATATTTCAGAGTGTTTCCTTTGTGCTGAAACTTTTTGTTGTTCATTTTGTCTGCCTGCTGTCAGATTGAAGCCTCGCTAGTTTGAGTGAAGAGCGTTTTTGTAACGATTGAAATTGCTTTGTGTCATTTCTGTAATGTTATTATTACATCACAGTATTGACTCGAGGGCTTTGTATTTACAGATAAACACACTGTGAAGACGAAGGTTGCTTTACTCTGACAAATGTAAGGCTCATGTTGGCAGACATGAGGATGAGCAGCTGATGCTCTTCCACTTGTTTATGTGCCTTCTATCAGGCAAGGGACAAACTCAGGCTCAATACAGAACAAGCCAGCCATGATTTTTATTTATTTTTTTGTATATTAAAGGAGGTTGCTGTCCTGTTTCCAGATATGTAAGTATATAAGCTTTACTGCCGCAGAAGGAGGAGGCTTTCCCCAGGCAGCCCTTCCAAACAAGCCGTTCCTGATTGTACTGTCGTGCACTTTTAACATTTAACATGCTGACTGAATCAGAGACGTGGCTCTCGAGTTTTTTGCAATTTGTCTGAGAACGCATGATCTGACCTTGGGGTGAATTGTCTGGGAAGATTGTGGCATTGTGTTGACACATACCTGGATATTGCAGACCAGCAAAGTGCCAGATTTTCTGCTTTTATTGAGGTGGTCACACTTGTTCCTGATCATCTATTCATGTTAGCTGCAGTTCGCTTATACTTATATTGGCTTATACTGCACACACATACACTGTGTGCACAATTATTAAAGTTGTATTTTTGAGCATTAATTTCATTATGGATCAAGGACAGTCAGTCCAAAATGTTAATGAACCTAAACCCGAATGTTTAAGAATGTAAAAGTGAATTATGCAATTAATTTTAAAAATGAACATTTTCCCATCTCACTAGTTTGTTTGCAAATGTTAAAGTGAGAATAATAAAACAACTCTCAGCCTCCCAGACACTGTTCAGAGAGGTGTACTGTTTCCTTACACTGTAAATCTCCCGTTTAAGCAAGGCCCACAGGTTCTCACGGGTTTAGGCCTCCTTCCTGACCTAGGCCATGTCATTATCTTTTCATCCTGAAGGCGTTTACTGGCTACCCATGTACTGGAGTACTTCGATGCATGCGATGGAGCATTGTACTGCATAAAAATCATGGTCTTCTTAAAAGATG